CAGCAGGACAGATCTCATTAACGGGAGCTGTCGGCTCCTCTGCAGCCTGGGGGCTAACTGTCTGCTGTTCTTGGTGATGAATTTAAACAGCGGCACCTCATTAGAAGCTGCAGGGCATGGAGTACACTGTCAAGGAAATGTTATTCAAACAGACACTCATTTACCTTCCCATGAACTGTGTGACCTTAATCTACTGAAGCGTGCAGGGCTGGAGCCCTGGGTTTATTCCCCCGTGCAGCACAGCGTCCGAGCGGAGCCAGGGCTGCGGCACCATCAGCCTCTTCTCCTGCAGAGCCTCTGGGCAAGTCCCTCATCCTCCGACAGTATCACTGTGCCTGCAACAGCAGCAACCCCCCAGGGGCCCAGTACATTGGGTGTAACAGCTTTAGCCAGAGAAGCAGAAAAATAAATGTTAATGAACATCTGGTCTCCATAAACAAGATAAATTAAAATTAATAGCCATCTTATTCATTTAATGAACAAGTTAACCATATTTTTTAAAAACCATAAAAAATGCATGGCTTCCTGCAGGGATGTGCTAAGCTGAGCGAAAAGAAATTAATTTCCTGGTGGAGCAGGGCTGCGTCGTGCTCACGGTGAGCGGGCGCGTCGCCACAATTCCCACCACCAGCACCCTGCTCCAGGCACCTTCTGCGTCCCAGACACAGCCACGGACACGGCCCCATTGCCCAGAGGGCACTGGAGGAGACTTCTTTCTCGTGGAAGAATCGATTCTTCCCCCCCTCTCAGCTCCGAGGAAGAGATCCATGTCAAACACAGAAGAAAGAGAGGGGAAGACTGACACCGCCATCCTATCACCGCATGTTTAACCAAAGACTAAACCAGAAAAACAGTGACCCGAATGCTGCCAAGGTTTAGTCCCATGGTGCAGAGTGCCTCAGGTACTGGTTTGCCAAACACAGCCAAGAATGTAGGTGATACGACAGCAGTTGTTTGCTTTACTCGTAAATTCACATGTCCAACAAAATCCACCGAGAACGGGCATTGGGCCTGTACAGTCCATATATAAAAAGGGTTCGTTTATTGTAGTTCAAATACATAAACTGAACAATCCCAACATTTCAAAATTAAACTTTAGAAACACAAGTTTAACATTCAAAATGGGAGTATAGTTTACAAGAATCGCCCCGAGGGGAATCCACAGTCTAATCCAGAAGTATGTAAAGATCGCTTTATCGTAAATAAAAATGTTTATACAACCGTCCTGTTCTGCTCCAGTAATGCTGTTATTTACCAAGTGTTTCCAACTTCGAGTAAAAATTATTAGACATATCTTCACTTGGGCAGAGCAACCTGATTTTGCTTCTAATTCATGGACAGGGTAAGGAACAAAGCAGACCTGCGAACAAATTCAGTCTGGTCTCTTAGTCCTAATTCTCCTCTCTCGGCTCTAACTCTGGCTGCAATGGATTTAGTTCCATTTACAAGGGTGAGAGCAAGCAGAGAGTGGGGACTCGTAGACCGCGGTCTTCAGTAATCAATAATTTAAGCTCTCGGACAGCATTTCACCTCCCCAGCCAGGGACCGCGGGTGGCCGTGGGGAAGCTGGGGGCACACACGCAGGACAAGTTCAAACCACATGCGCCATCGCCCAAGACTCACGTGTGTGACACTGCTGACAGCACCTCCGGACACCAGACATCCACACCTCACACATACTGTGCTGCACAAGAGCCGCAGGTACCACGCACCGCCCACGCGTTCGGGTTTTTGCCAGTCATGCCCCACAGACACTCATAAATACCTTCGACGTGGGCTTTTGCCGTTGGGTCCCGTCCCCCCACCCAGAGACCATTTTATGTTCACAAATGCTGCTCATTCCTCTGCTCCTCAGATGGTTTTGCAATATATTCACGGTAATGTATATGTATAAACCTGACGGATGGCTCATGCAAGCTGTTTGATTTAACAGATACCCTTGGCTTTAGAGCATTTCCTAACTATTTCGTTGTTCGCCTGGTGGGCTCTGAAGCGGTGGGCGGTGGCGGTGGGCCCCGGCGGTCCAGGTCATCCACGTAGGACACGATGAGCTTGCGCCTCTCTTCTGGGACGCAGTCGAGTACCAGGTACCGCTTGTCATTTTGTAATATCTTCTCTACATCCTTCAGATGCTGATCTGACTCCTGGATCAACTTTTTGGATCTGAAAACAAGCATAAGAATTACCACCCGAGAGCCGTGCAGGAGGCACAGAACGCCCAGGAACACGCCCGGCTCCTGGCATAACTCTTTCATAACTCTTGACAGGTTATGAAAGGTTGTAAAAGTGTAACATTATCATCCATTTATATGGAAAAGCATAAAAAAAGTTTATTCTTTTGTTGACACTATGCTCCATACCTGTACGTTATAAATTTGGTCTCTTTCAATAGTGTTCGGAAGTCAGCTTTGGCAGTGATGTATTTGTCTCTAATGTATTCCTCAAACTCCCTTTGTTTTTTCTGAAAGAAAAGAGTAAGTTTAAAACACTGAATGCAGATTTAAGTACTTCATGCAATTTAACATACTGAAAATAAGCAAGAAGTACATGTTAATTATATTTTTCCTTATCTTCTACATTTTTAATAAAAAGAAAATCTTAAAACACTAACACTTCTGTTCACATAAAGCAGGAACCACTTCAGCACCATCAACTCACTTCCTCTGTCCCCTGCACTCCCCTGAGCCACAGCGATGCAAACCTCTTACCCTGTCACTCGAAGAAAATTTAATGCACCTTGGATCTTCTTTAATAATTTTTTTCACTTCTTTCCATGTTGATGTTAAAGTTATCTTTAAAAAAAAAGAAAAAAATTAAATTAAAAGAAAATTAGATTCAAAGAATAAAGAATGTAAATATTACAGAAGCTTCTAAGGACCTCCCAAGTCCACTGACAAAGCTTTAGCTGTATTTTTAAGTGTTGTGTTTTGATTACTTATACTACATGAGTATGTCTAATTAGATGATTTTGTATATTTACTTTTCTTTGGTATTTTGAGATGGGATTTTCAGATCAAAGTTCTCACAAACATCAGTCACATCCCAATGTCTTTTCCTAGTACATACTGATGTACGTGAATGTGTTGTTTAAAATTACCTACAGAAAACCTGCTGCAGAGCTACAAGTCTGTCATTTTATTCTGTCACACCAAAAATTTACCCAGTGTTCTTAAGCACTTCTAACTAATGCATTAAAAAAATCAGGAAAAAACTTCTGGGTTCAAAGCAAGCTGACTGAAGTTGGCAGATAACTGAAAAAGAGCAAGACTCACTAAAACCCCCCAATACCCAGAACAGGCACGATTTCCACAGCACTACACAGAATACAAGTTCAGATTCCGCAGCACAAGATAAAGCAGGAGAACATCCAAACAGATGAACCTGGTCAGATTATTTACTGACACTCATTAAGAAAAGCACACTGGGTATTTGAAAGAGCAAGATGCCATAGAGTAAAGAGCATCAAATAATTCAGTGTTGAAGAAATGTAACATCCTGAGGAGATAAAAAGATCACTGGTTAGAAGTTTAATGGAAATGAACCAAAATAATAGTCACGACAAACAGGTAAGGAAACAATGCACAAATCTTGTTATGAAGAAGAAAAGGCAGTGGTGAAGCAAAGGGGCCCTGGAAATAAAAACAAACAGATCAGCTTGTGTGACAGAAAACCAGAAAAAGATCAATCTCAATGGGCTGGCAAAGATTTGAAGTTTGAATATATACAACTCTTACTGCTGAAGTTTCATCCAGAAGTTGCCTAAAGTGTTCCCTCTTCTTTTTGGTAAGTGCTTCAATGTGCTCGTTAAAGAGCTTCTCCTTCTCTTCTCTTTCCAGCAAGGAGCCAGATTCCCATCGATGATCCTTGCGTAGAGTCCTTCTGGTATCAGACCACGACACATCTGAAGAACGCACCTGAGCCAAAAGATGACAATTTTTTTAAACCATTTTTTCTACACTTCACTTATATTTCCTATGTACATCTTAGGTTTTTTTTATTTCCCTTGTTTTGAGTTAAGGTTCAAAATCCTCTCACAGCTGAGCTTGACAAGGAGAACACAGTACACGTACAACAGAGCAGAGAAATGGTGAGGCAATGGCACTGTGTTTAGAGCACGAAGAAGACAGGCAATGCAAAAATACAGCGACTATTCCTAATGCTCAACAATATCCAATCCTCCAACAGGCATACAGAAGTTTACAGCAGCATGACTGAAAATCTGCCGTCACCCACGAGACGCCAGAGCAGCGCAGCAGAAATAACGCTGTCTGCTGGCTCCCCGGGCATGGTGCCAGAATGTGAACCCTAAATGCAAAGCATTCCCTTCCCGCCAAGGCAAAACTCCGAACCGTGAGTGGAGGGCAGCAGGGAGAAGACAACAGGATTCTATTTCTACATAAACTTAACTACAAATGCCAAGAAGCTTTCACATAGTGCAACAATTAGAAAAAGAATGCACCGACGAGCTGAGAAAGCCTGTCCGTATCTCACCATGTCAGACAGAAGCGCTTTGAAGTTCTGTATAGCTTCTTCCCGCTTGTGCTGCTCACGTTCTCTATCAATTTCCTTGGTTTGCTCCGAACGAGCTTTCTGGACTTCCCTTTCTCGCTCACGCAAACTTGCCTCAATGCGAGCCTGTCTTTCCAGCTCCTTTTCTTTTTCAGAATCTAAATTCTGAAATGTAAGAACAAACTCCTCTCAATAAAAGCAATACAGCACCTTTCATATCGTCATTAGACAGGTAAGAGAATTAAAGGGCTATCGGACTAAAGGCATCTCGGAACAAAATACTTCAAAGTGATTTGAGATCTGTGCATTACAGAATCCTGGTTCAACAGCCATGGTGAAGCATTAGAGGGTTTACATGGGGAAAAGAGAAATTTGGTTGCAACACTGATCACAGAACAACTATTCTCAGGAGCATGTTTCTTGTGTGCAGTGACAAACTGAGTAACGGCAGGGCAGGGGCAGAGGGGTGTGACTATTTGTTAGCCCAGTTTTAACGTTCTCAGCCATTTATTGCCTGGAAGAGAAAGGCAGGAACCCTGGATTAAAAGAGAAGAACCAGCAAAGGAACTGTTTATGAACCATCTGTGTTCCTGAAGGAAGCTCAGCTGATGCAAAAATCCCAGCCCATCCTGGCAGGAAGTGATCAAAGTGGTGTCTGCATTTTCTGAAGTTTTACAGCCACTTCTACAACCACTGGCTTTACAGGGGTCTCTGCCTTTCTTGCTCTGATTGATAAATTCTCCCCAATATCGTGTGTGTGTATACACACGCAGACACGCACCGCGAACATCACGGATAGCACTGCTCAATTTCAACCTGTCATTCTGGGGTACTTCCATAAACGACGATGGGTGAGGAATTCTCTTTGGTACAGAACTGAAGCACACATCAGTCTACCTTCTAGCTGGTCACTTCACACGTTAACAGCACTGCCACCAGCAGAACATCCAAAACCGCAATTCCAAATGTCACAGGCATACCTTAGCTATTTTTTCTATGTACTGTTTGAAAAGGTCTTCCCTCTGTGAAGAGCTATCCACCGCTTTGTAACGGGGGTCAGTCTCTACTTTGTCCTTCACTTTGCTCCAGCGAGACTGACTGTCCAGGTGGTGATTAGCCAGTAGCTCAAAGAAGTCCATTTTGATCTGTTTTACAGACAGAAACAGAAAGACAATACTTGAGAAAGATACTTTGATACTCAACAGTTTGTTCTTACGAAAAAAGGAGTTAACTTACCTCCAAGAGAGGGAAGCACATTAATATTACAAACCATTACAATTTAGAGAAATCACTAAAACTCTGAATTTAGACATAACCACGTCTAAAATTCACTTCCCCTTGGGACAATTTTGCTAAAGCAGATCCATTAAGATCTGCTACATCTAAGAGGAGCTGTATTCTTTAAAGAATGATCCACCAATACAGTTTTTATTATTTTACTGCAATTTAAGCTTCTTTTTTGAGCTTTTATATGTATATCAAAATAACAAGTTATCGATTCTACATGACAGCTTTTTGCATATTAATACTGAAGAAGCCGTGCAGTTTTGAACAGGGCTCTAGACAAACCAAGCATTGATGGGATCATCCTCCAAGTGTACAATGTACAGAGGTGAATGCTTGGGTCTGCTGATAAAGAGCAATGCCTTAAGATGGATCTGACCAATAAAGAATTAACCACACATGGTAATTACGTAAATTACATTTAAGATGGATATGCACATTTATATAAAAGTTTAAGGCAATGTTTTAGCCTACTTTTTCAATGGGAAATGGCACGTCAGCACTCTGTCCATAACAGCAGCCATCGCAAAGGGCTGGCAGAGGATCAATCACATTAGCTTTTTTATCTCGAGATAACTAGCAACGTATTTTCACCCACACTCCCAGAACCAGCAGCTGCAGGAGTGACTACTGTGCCTTTATTACATCTCTTTTTTCCTGGGGCAGATGATCTCCCTGATCCTGCTGCACTTTAGCTCCTAGGTATTTTCTCCTTTTTATTTCCTTAGAAGCCTTGTTTGGCATTTAAGCCTCCATCTCTCTGAAGGAGAGAGGCGAGGGGCTGGTTCTCCTCGTGCCGAGTGCCAGGGAACGACTCTAGGGGCTCTGCACGCAAGGCAAAGCATGCTGCCTTCACAGCATCCCAAACCCTGCTGCTGCACAAAACAAAATCTGTCTTTACGGCACACTAATTAAAAAAACCCAAACCACAGGAGAAGGGCTGGCCATTCATTTTTTGCTACCTATCTACTCTCCTCATGCCCTTAAAAAAAGAAACCCACCAAAAGCAGTTTAGCTCCAAAGCAGTGAAGATCACAGGGGAAGGAGCAGATGGACAGGAGAACACGCTCTGGCTTGCCAGAGAGCTGTCACACCCCAGTTCTCTAAAAGTGCGTTTGGCTACAGAACACAAGATCAGAACATTCTGTAGCCTTGCCCACCAATAATTTTAGTTCTTCACAATATTAACATATAAACGTAAAAGGCTTTATAGGCTTCTTTCCTTTACTATCTCAGGGGGATCATGATAGTAAGCAGAGATTAGAAAACAACTTGTTGGTGCCAGTGGGAAGTTGCTCTACATCTACAGCACTATCACTTGGTCTTACAGTAGCTGCCCCAAATGCTAAGCAAACCGTTTATTCACTGTAAAATGAAGAATGCGGTTTCAAAATATCTTAAAGCATGCATGCAGTATCAAAGATATGAAGCTTTCTAAGCCATGGCATTAGAAATATTTGTTAAAATCGAACAATTCCCAGACGTTACTACAGAAGTCTATAAAGTAAGGGTGTCTCTAAGCCTCCACAGCAGCACTCTGCACAAACTCTGTGTGTGTATATTCCCCAGAACAGGAGCTGCACACCCACAGCACGGCTGGAGCACCGTGACCCCAGCTGCAGCCCCAAACCACCACGCTCTGCGGCAGGAGCTGCCTGCAGCCCCCTCGCTCGCTGCCGAGCCCCTGCGCTGCTGCACGGGACGGGCTGGGCTGGGCTGGCTGCTGCTTCTCCAGCAGAAAACCAGGAGGGTGCAGCCACCTCCCTCCTGAGGAAAACCAACAGCGCTTCTGGACCCTTAATGCTCTTAAAGCATCCACAACGTACTGCAGTTTGGTTTTCAATTTAAAAAAAAAAGGCAAAAACTTCTCAAAAAATGGAGTAAACCACATTTCGCCAAGGAATAAACTGAGATCATGGCTCTACGCTGTTGCGGGTTCAGCACATCCACAGATGGTAACTAGCTCGGGTCAGTAGGGTATTAATGAGAACTATTGGCATGCAGGCAGGACAGACAGGCACGAGCTGCCAGCATGGGGGCTGCGGGACATTTTCAGCGAGTCTATGTGAAGGGGGACGTCAGGCTCGTCTGCTGGCACGGCTGGTCTCAGGACGTGGAGCAATGCTGCACCCTGGGGCAGCCCAGCCAGTGCTACCGGCTCTTGGGCTGTTCCCAGCGTCCTCAAACCCACACGCTTCCTCACTTCTCATCTCAGAGGTGTTCACAGTGTATTTACTCACTGAAATTAGCTGCATGAATAAAAAGAACCTTTGGAAAAGCTGACTGCTCCATCACCATCCGATAAGCCATAATTCAGTGAAGCAAAATCAAAACATAGAATTTAAAACCCTTACGTTACAGATTTCTGTGAAGTTGATCCTCCTTAAGTAAAGATTTTGGACTTTCGAAACAGACTGAGAAAGCTTCAGGTTAAATGCCTTAAATTTTATATTTTAAACACTTTCAAAATCAAAGGAAAATAAGACTAAAAATATTTCAGGTGTATTTAGAAGTCTTTTTTTTTTTTTTTGGCAGTTAACACATTGCAGGTACAACTCTCATCACTTCACAAGGAAAAAAACTAAAAAAATGTAAAGTACCGGAACTGCGGGAGGCTAAAGTCACCACACAGAGATACCAATTCTTTCCTCACTAGGGAATCCCATAATATTTGCGTGTCAGTGATTGACAGCTGTCAGACTGAACTGATTGACAGGCCGCACAGCACATAACTGTAAAGTCTATCCACTTGTTATAAAACAGAATACATAAAATGGTTACAAAAGGCTTTTGGAGAAAAAAACATTATTTCAAAATCAAACAAACAATCTCTCTTAACTTTTCAACTTTAGAACAATCATGCAACAACAAAACATTTACTTTTTTTTTTAAACTCTTCAACTGCACTATTAGGCTGCAAGAATTCTTTAAAATTCTGTATTCATAATCAAAATGCAGCATGTAAGTCTAGTTTGGAACTACAGAGGTTCTCCTCAAAGCACAATCATTTATTGAGAATATCAGCAATAAGTCAACATTTGAAAAAACTGAGTACAGAATCAAATTAGACCAGAGTACCTAGACGAAAAAAAATACTCGAAACTTACTGAAAAACTAAATTGTCCCCAAATCTAACCCGTTTTTCTGCATTCGCTGTAAGCATTCTTAGTAGGTGAAATTTGCAATAACTTTATACTACAAAATAAATATCGCAGACTTTAAAATGTCAAAAATGATTAGGCTTTAGAGGTTATTTTCTCCATTCGCACATCACACAGGGACATGTAAGTGGCTGCGTATTTTGATGATAACATTTGAAGCCACCTCTGTAGCAGCCTGCTCCCCAGCGGTGAAAGCCTGCTCCCTGCGATTGACAATGCGGTCAGATGACATTTGGAATTCATTAATCTTTAATAGCTGACCTTTAATTCTAATAAGCAGCAGTTTATACATAAGATATATTTAATGAAAGATTAAAAAGTCACTAAAGTGCTAGCGTTTAGATGGAAAGAGAAGATATGGAAGCTGTTTGAAATTTAAACGGAGCATCCTACAGAGAATTTCAAGTTCTTATGCCTCCACTGAGAGAACAGAGAGGTAAGGGCCAGTTCTGGGGTTTCCAGCCAAACAGGACAAGAATCCTTTTCCTTTTAACGCTTCACGATAATATAACTTAAAAAAAAAAAAAAAAAAATCAGACATTAATCTAGTTAAGAATATAATGCTACTTACTTAGGAAAACCACCAAAAAGTGTGATTATTTAACTAAACTCAGCTTCACAAACAAAGGTAAGTTCAAGTCTACATGCTCTTTAGTCAGTATACCTGCAAACTGAAAACAGTTAGTTCAGAAAGACCCAAGGGACATCTGCAAAGCGTTTGCCCTGTAAAACCTCTACAGAAAGAGAAGGACCATGCCTCAGAGAGGGCACATGGGAAACCAAGCCCTGGCCTTGTCCCATCTCACTCAGACTCGCACCACTCACGCTGCTGGAAGGAAAAAAGTCACCTTACCTTCTCACCCCTGGTCTTCGAATCTTCTTTTTCCTTCTTTCTTGCCGCTGTGATAAACTCATTAAACAAGGCCTCTCGATCTTTCATCTTTTCAATTGCCTTGAATCTCGAGTCTTTAGCATGCTTGGCTGCAAATTCACTAAAAGTAGTTCTGCAACAAAATGGCAAGTGAACTCATTTGGCAGAGCTGTCTTTGCTGGGAGGCAGGTTCAGCTTCTGCCAGAATACATGCCAGAGCACAATTGAAAAAAAAAAAAAAAGGCAACATCCTATTAAAAAAAAAGCAACATCCTATGGTCTCACTATAGAGATGCCTGAACAATGAACTATATAGAAAGGAGTCGGGTTTAGGCACACACATGAACGGTATCGTTAGCGAGTTACAGGGGTTTTTGTCTGAATACAGCTACCCGCAGAAAGTGCAGGTGTAGGAAGAGAGATTACAATGCAACCAAGAAGAAGAAATGAAAAAAACTCAGTTGTCTACAAAAATCTTCTTTTTTTGTGGGTTAGCAGTTCAGCCACCAGTCTGTCCAGGTATTTCACAGCTGTGAAACTGAAAATTTTACGTGCATTCACTTGCAGCCAAACCATGCTAAGAGTTCACCAAGAAAATAACCTTTTGGTGTTAGACACAAGAGAACACTGGCTGAATCTATTTTTCCTCCTACAGTGAACATTGTATAGCCTAATCTTAAAATACACGGAGCTGAAAACATTTTACCCACCATGGGCGGACGCAGCAATACTGGGCTTTCAACCCGTTATCCCCAGAGCATTTCCCTGACCGTTCTCTCACCTCCAGGGCCAGATTCCAACCTGTGCAGTAGATATAGTACTGCCACTTACCTCGAAAAAACCCACTACTGTGCTTTTTCCAAGCTCTGATGCAAATCTGGCCCCAAGAATACGTGAGACACTTATAATCATACGAATGTTTTCATCACAGCATGGAAATAATTAGACTTGGAAAATCCAGCCTACTGTTGCTGTAGGGTAAATTGAAACAAGAAGGTAATTTGGTAGCTTATTCAAAAAGATTAGAAAGTGAATGTACAGCTATACTGAAGAACAAGAGCTGTTTAAGTGAAGTGGAACACAAACTCTTGAGCATGTTAGACTGAGACAGATGATAAAAAAAACCAGTTCGGCACTCACAGAAGTACAGCAATATCTTTAGACAAACACTGAAGCCAGAAGACAAAGGATAAGATTAAACAAGACAGTATTTCAGCTGGAACTCCTTCCCACCCCAACCCATAATCAGATAAGAGCCAGTCCCAATACGACACACCGGAGATATCTTGGAAGCTGAGGATACTAAAGCTAACATAATAGTCCACATTAGTCTCTGAATTAGATATTAAACTTATTACCGATGAACTTTTTCTTAAAACATTTCCATGCCTCCATTCTTCCCAGCCTACCACTGTTGAAACTGCTATCCTTACTAACCGAGCAGACAGGTGTTTTAAATAAGAGTTATTAATCAAGGTTGAAGTAATTTAAAAGTTAACATAACACTGGCTTCCACCAGATTTCCAACACAGGTCACTGAAAAAATTAAGCTGAATGGAAACAAATGAGTCATTATTGCACTGTAAAAGAATTAACGCCAGATAAGGCAAGCGATGCTGAAAGAGAATGCTTTAGAGCTCATCTGGTGACATAAACACGTATTTCATGAACTCTGTGAGAAAGCTGTGAAACAAACAATCCTAGCAATAAACACTTGAATGTTAGCACACTGCCATCGCCTTGCTGTTATCACTTGCAAGCAGGTCTGAATGTGAGGGGTATGTAATAATTTCTATATCAAAGCAACCAGAACATCCTATCATATTATTATTATCATACTTTGGAATCAGGGAAACATCCCTTCAACCACCTCCAAACTGAAGAAACCTCCCTCGTACTTCTCTGAGACTACTAATGCTCGTAAGATGAAACAGGGTTATTAGAGAAAACTTGCAGTGAATCATGAGGCCCTTCTCACAATCTAGAGAGCAGGCTGGGGATTTCTTCAAAATGACTTAAAATACGTAAATCGTTATAACTCACAAGCTCTGGTTTTTCATGGGTTAGGTGAAGACAAGCAGGCAAAAGATTTCACCAACCTCTGATGATTCTTCTGCTCTTTGCCCATTTTGAAAGAGGTTAATCTACCTAACACCCCTCAACACACTTCATTCTAACAGAGCTTATGCATACGAACTAGAAAGAAGCTCCTACCTTGGATTAATCTTTGCTTCTTCCATCATTTTCTTGAAGTCCTCCTTTGCCTGCATGATTTTGTTTTTCTTCTCCTTGCGTTCTTCTTCTGCTCGGGTTTTCACATACTGATCAAATACCTACAGAAACACCAGTCACCGACATAAAACATAAAAACCCGAAGCCACATGAGCTCTATGCAAGAGGGAGGAAAAATCCCATTTCTTTTCTCCCATTTCCTTTCCTCTCACCACAGAGCCAACATAGACAGGGCAGAAAGAAGAGTTAGGGACTCCTTGTATTTGGATATGCAAATAACTCCAATCTGCTGGACATGTAGTGCACTGTATCTAAACACGTAAAGAAGTTTCTTACATATTCATGTTATGTTAACGTATTTCCTGTATTCTTGAAGTTTTCCATTTCCCTCCATCCATTTGAAGAAAAGCTTCTGGAGTGACAACTTGCTTAACAACAAAAATGCGCTTTGGTTTCTCCCCCAGCTTTTGGGATCTCTCTGTATACAGACAACTTCCACTGTGTTAAAATATTAGATCTTTCAACCACAGGGAAAAAAAAACCCTATCAACTCACTTCTTTGCTTGCTGGCTTCTTCCGTTTCCAAACAAACCCTAATCGTAACAAAAATCCCTTGCAACACTTATTAGTCTGGAAGGTTAACAGGAACAAAAATAGCAGACTGAGGATTTAAGTAAAGGCTGTAGTAGCTGTGTCTGGACGGGGAGTGAATTTGACTTCTCTTTTACCTGTTTTCTTTCTTTCGGGTTGAGAAGTAAGTAACGAGGATCGAAAACTATCTTGTGTAGTTCTTTCTCCCATGTTGAAAAAGCAGAGACCTTTAATTAAAAAAAAGTAAAGTTTTAACTAATGGTTAAGTTTCCTCAAATATACAGAAGTTGTACAGTTTTGCTTGAAAACGATAAGACATCAGACAAAAAGACAGAAACAAACTTATCTTGAAGTTTTCATCACTAATAGATAATAGAGACTGCCACAGCAAGTTTCAGCACTAATTGGCTCTGAAAACTTCTAAGTAATAACACACGCTTAATTACTACTATTGTGTAACTTTTTAAAGAAAACGTACATCAGAAGAAAGCCTTGAGAGCCTATATTCTGATATCCCATGCCTGCTCTATACCTCTCCTAAATGTTATCAGCGTAAACAGTTCTGCTACGAAACAGATTGATCTAAACATGTTTGAGCTCATCTTACATAAGCTTTATTAAAACTATTCCATAAAGTCCCATCATTGAAGCTAAATGAAAGCTGCACAGGTAGCTGGAACCACTTCTACTTTTTTGAAGTTACTATATAAATTCATATTCTAGTAGTCTAATTTATCTATCAAAACTGATTGGTATCAAGCAGATTTCGAAGTTAGCTAGAAGCAAAAAGTCTCCCATTTACGGACCAGAATGTGCAGACGCCAGTGGAACTTACTGCTTTGCTCATGTAGGAGTGTCTCCAAAAACATTATGACACGTCCAGTTTGTGTGTCCTATTTATTTTCAATGGCAGTGTTCAATGAGGTACTAACTTAACTTAGAAAAAAGAGATTAAAAAAAAAAATCTGTCTTGATACTGTTTAATGTCAGTTACTTAGAAATGAAAATTTTGCTAGAATTGTAACATTCTTTGAAATACGGAGACTTGAACCAACTGCAACCATGAATCAGAGGAAGGACAAGATTGTTTTCTTTACATAAAGCACTGCAGGTTCTGAATTCACCAAGAATTCTGACCTCTGCCTGAACCTCCCCCTCTCACATACACACACTTATTTCTCTGACCCCTCTTTCTAGAAGCATGTCCTTGAACTGTTTCATCCGAGCCTCCAGAGGGACAATGGCTCTCTCTCGAGCGGCTTTAATTTCAGCTTCCATAGCAGCCTCCTTCTCTGAATCAATATCTTTGTTATCATCTTTCCTGAAAAAAAATAAACACACAGTGTAACCTGAGAAGGAACAGGTCAGCCCTGTAGGTTAGAAAGGGAACTGCACCAGGACAGAGTGGATATAACCGACGACTTCAGAAGCGCAGGCTTACACACCATGAAAGCCATGCTTTGGGACTCGGACATGAATGCTTTCCTACTGAGAGAGCGCAAGAACGGACATCTTCTCAGTAGCTTCAGTGTCAACAAATGACTCTGGGAAGCCAGCACATCTCCCCAGGTGTGCAGCAGGTTTCACACTGGCTGCACGGATTGCCTTGTCTCCTGTCCAAGGCCATGGACCGGGTGAACAGGCTACGGCTAAGGCAGTGCGTTCAAACTGGGAATGCCTCACACTCAGGACAACAGAAAATGCCCTTACGCAAGCAATGCATTCATCCATCAAAGCATTTCTGGAAAGCAGTGTGCTGTTTGCTGATGTATGTTTACTAAGAGATGTGCTTTGTCCCAAACACAGACCCAAAGCCCTAGCTGCAAACAACTTTATGATCATCCCTAAGAGCACACAACAGCAAATAAAACAGTAAAACTACTTTTAAAACAGTGCCTGTAAGTAACTCAGAGTGAAGAGACATATATTTGGGTGGACTTGATGACCTCTGAGGTCTTTTCCAACCTTAATGATTCTATGGTATCCCTTCCAATAAGCAAAACAGACCAAAAGGCCTAAACAAAACGCTTTAACCCTTTATAACAGAGTGAAAAAAGAGTAATCACTATGGAAATCTAGATGGCCAGATTTTTTTGGCAACAAAAGCTTGTGCACAGAAATTAACAAGCTAGATAAGTAAGCAACAGAAGCAAACTATTTAATATAAACTGCACTCAAAATATTCCTTGGATTCACCAAATAACTTAAACCATTTATTTCCATTTTGAATGATTTCCAAAGGAGATGCTATTTCCTCTACAAATGAATTTCAGCTGTCTCTGAGAAATATCAAATACAAGCTGCTAAACTAAAATAGCAGAAAGCTGACGGTCGTGTTCGCCAGTCCTATCACTGTTACTGCTCTGCTGAATACAACACACTGCTCAGTGCAGAACTGCAGAACTCTAGTAATTTCATCTACACAGACCACTTAGTATTGAAAAAGCAAACTTACTTGCGCTTTTTAATTTTAATAGGCTCGTCTTCATTTGCGTCCTCTGTAGATTCGTGCTCTTCTCTAACTGTAACAGATTTCAATAATACTTCAGATTTTATCTTTATGAAAAGTTTGTAAAGCAAAAACAAAGCTTTGTTGAAAAACAGCGGACAACACGTGGAGCAATAATGTGTCCTGACAAAGGAAGACATACGGTTTTCAGTCGCTTTCAGAATAACACTGTCAGAATTTGGTAGCAGGACTAAAAGACTTGTGGCCAACTTTGTATTTAAAGTGACAAACACTGACCTCTTATTTCCAGGGAAATAAAACCTCTGGCTAAACAGTCTAATGAAGCACATTTGGATCTCCCAATTACCTACTTGCACTTTGCTCTCCTCCAACTACTAAGCCCATGTGTCATCCCAGGATCATTTACTAGAACTCCTCCCAGCAGCCTCTTGAACGTTCCCTGCTCTTGGCAGCTGCTTCCAAAACTGTACTGAAGTTGATGTTCTCTAAGTTAAATCCTCTTCTGTGAGAGCCCATTTGTACATTATGGTTAATCTTTTCTGGCCCCCAGATTCCTCCTGCTTATAAAACAAACACAGTCCCTTTTTTTGGCCAGTAAAAACTGTGGGTTTTTTCAGCCTGTTGGCATTTAGAAAAAATATTAACTTTGTTAGTATCTACTTTCTTCAACAGACTTTTTTTTTTTTTCCAAAGGACTCTATAGATCTGCATTCTCACCAGCCTTCTTAAATTCCTAAGCTATATACATTTTTCAATATGCCCCTACATTACTCTCATTCATTTAAATGTTACTACTTTGGGAAATCAACACAGAATGAGTGATAAATTATATTCAGGTTTCTTAAGAAGGCACTAAGATGGGTCTTACTAAGTTTTTTTCCTTCTTCCATTCCTTTTTTGTGAGGAGGTTCTTGAATTATTTTGTCCACATCAGCTCTTCCAATTAGGTCATCTGGTCGGTCCCACATAGAAAGACGAGTGGTAGGGTTATAGAAGAAAACACGCTCATCACCAGTCCACACCACGCACCTGGAAATGTAAGAGTCAGACGGGAAGTCTTAGTTTATATCTTTGTCTTCATTTATTCTGCATACCTGCTCCCACATTCAAAGTCTGAAGCTAGCATAGTCACGGGCAGACCCAGGTTATACTTACTGCATGCCTACCC